ACACACACACACACACACACACACACACACACACACACACACACACGACACACGACACGCACGACACACACACACACACACACACACACACACACACACACACACACACACACACACACACACACACATCCAACATTATTCCAAGACGTTTATAATGCATGCCTTAAGGAGGGGACTTTCCCGCATAAGTGGAAACAGCAACGATTGGTACTGTTACCTAAAGGGAAGAAACCACCGGATGAACCGTCATCTTACCGCCCACTCTGCATGCTAGATACAGCGGGTAAGATATTTGAACGTATAATTTACCAGAGAATTGAAGCAGTAGTCGACCCACTCCTGGCAGACAATCAGTATGGATTCCGGAAAGGACGATCAACCCTGGACGCAATCAAACTGGTTGTTGATACGGCCAAGGAAGCAATCGCAGGAACCAAATGGAAGGGTGGAATGAAGAAGTATTGCCTGGTGGCCCCTAGACATCAGAAACGCCTTCAACTCTGCCAATTGGGAATGGATCATGCAGGCCCTCCAAGAGAAGAATGTACCAGAATACCTTCTTAAGATCGTAGCTAACTACTTTGAAAACAGGGTCCTGAAGTATGACACGAAGAACGGTCCGAGGGAGTATGATATCACTGGAGGTGTGCCACAAGGCTCAGTTCTAGGCCCGCTCCTGTGAAATATTATGTATGACGGTCTATTAAGACTAACTCTGCCAAGAAACGTCAAACTCGTAGCATATGCAGATGACGTAGCCGTAGTGATCGTTGCTAAACACGTTGACGAGATAAAACATATGTTCGATCTCACTTTTGAGCGCGTCAACCGGTGGATGGACGCAGTGAACCTGCAACTGGCGCACCATAGGTTTCATGCTGATGGTTTGATGAATGTTGCTTAGCATTATTATTCGAGTAAAATGCTTGAGTTTGCTGTCGATGATGATTTGGTTTTGAATTGTGATCTTGTTTCGAGGAACTTGAATTTGTGTCATTTCGGACATTATCTCCGCAAACCGCTCTTTTTTCGAGAAACTTTAAAAGGTCTTTGTACGGTGGAATTTTATCATCAGATAGGGTTAACTCACAATGCCATGCTGTAGTAGAACCGATCTTGGACAAAATTAAATCTACCAACGGAATATCCCAAAAACAGACTGGTTCTTTAAGATTTTCTAATGCTCTAGTGTGCTGGTTGAAAGTATCTACGAGTTGACTAATCGCTGATGGTGAATCTTTCTGCAAACGTGGATACTCGCGCAAAACTGACCAATGATGACGGGTGAGTCGCCGGGTTGACTCATATCGATCTTTTAAAATCGAAACAGCAACTTGATAATTTTCGTCTGTTAATTCGAGGGATTCGATCGCATTTGCTAGTTTTCCGCTGAGCGCTGTCCGAAGAAAATGTAATTTTTTGACTGGTTTTAACTTGTATTCGTTAAGTACGGCTTCAAATAAATTGAAAAAGGAGAACCAAATTTCTGGAGCTCCGTCAAAGGTAGGTACGGTGATGGGTGGTAGTGCTGAAGCGACTTGTGTCTGAACAATGGTTCCGTTGGCTGCTGCTTGGTCGACTGCAGGTATTGGTGGGGGATTTGTTTCTTGTAGCATTGTTTCAGCGCGGGAGACTTCCAGGTTATATAATTGTACGTACGCGGCACGATTATCTATTTCTTTCTCATCTAACTCTTCTAATCGACTTTGAATTCTTTCAAATTTTTCGAAAGCTTTCCGAGCGAATTCGAGGGATGATCTAATATAATTGAGGTTACGTTGATCCGGATTTTCGTCTGATGCATCTAAAATCTTCTTCAGGGTGGTTATCATGGCCTGAATATGCCCGCGTTGTCTTTTGAGTCGAGTGAAATCGGCCATATTGATTCAAATAGGGATGAATAGGTTATCAACGATGGAGAAATTGAAAATAGTTATGCAATGACTTTTGATTAAAGGGATCGATGTTAATTGGCAACTTATTAATTGATTTGGTGAAACAAAAAAACCAACTAACCTTTAATGAAGATGGTGATGATAAACTCTTGATGCCCTCCTAGGACGTTGAATGGCTCTC